AAAGAAAGACAAAAACAATTCATGTTTGTAAAACCATCATTTTTTTATAGTTTTTAAAACAAAAACAAATTGTGAGGTTCATCAGATATTGTATAAATTATAAAATGTGGTGAGAGATTATGAAGTATATGTTTTTCAAATCAGAAATTCAAAAACATGTTTTTTTTTTAATTTTAGAAAAAAAATACACATATCATGTTTTCCATGTTTTTGTTTGAATAAAACCAATTTATTTTCAAACCAGATGGGTTTGATTTGTTTTGAAAATCACAAGAAGAAAAGAAAAATCACATTATTAGATAACCCCCCACCAATCAACTCAACCCGATTTTGATGTATTATATTAACATACCCTTATTAATATCTTCAAAGTATTCTTAAATACTTATGAGAATTTATGGACTCATTGAGTTGAGGGTTTATTTATTTATTTATTTATTTATTTTTGAGAAGGTAAGTAGTATTTTATATAAAATCAATTCATTGTTCAAAGTATTGACACATATAAAACTCAAAAATTGCATATGCATGATTCAAAGAGGTGATATTCAGTTTTAATAAGTTTTAGGTTTTAAAATGGCCTTTGTCCTACATTCTATTATTTGGTGTTTTGATAGATTCAAAAACCTATAAATATATATAATGTGAGTATATAAATTTGGCTACCTTTCGATAGATGAATTATGGAAATATTTATTTAATTATTTTGAATTTCAAATCTCCACAGGAATTGGTTACATGAATCCTATTTTTCCATCCAACTAGTTAGTATCATATCTGTCGCTAAATTATAACCCCTCAAATCATTTCTCACTACTTTAGTTAATGTCCTTTTTGGCCCAATTCTCTTTATTCAACCCCTTCAACTTGTAACAAATCATTTTGTCTCACTATGGGTTTTTTTTTTTTTTTTGATATTACTGTTTTTCTTCTTCCACCAAAACGTTTTGAATTGATTAAGAGTACAAATTGATATAAAATTATCATTTGAGGTTGTTCATAATCAAAACAAGCATACCTTAAAACTGCTATAAATTAATCCAAAACTATGTCTGATGGAAAGAGAAACGGTACCAAACACAACCTAAGCTGCTTCTACAATTGCTGCCATAGAAACTATGGATTGGTGAAGGAATCCGGAGTTGTCACCCATGGTTTTTATAATACAGACAAGTTTTTTTCATGTAAAAAAATATTATGTCGATCTAATGAAGTATTTAAGCTGATTACCTTTTCTATTATATGTGTCTTAGTCTTGGCCCTAATTTGTTTCAGTGCCAAGAGACTTTTAGTATTGGAATCTTATGACATTTTATTATAATTTCTCAAGTGAAATGACCCTTCCTGCTTCCCCCATTAATTAACCAGGCCCCATTTGGTGTCAAGCTCCTCCAATCTTGTATTTTCTATAGTCAGAAGTCAGTCAATGGTCGTACAATTTCTTTTCATTATAAAAAAAAAAAATAATAATAATAATAATAATAACTGTCTGTCTATGATGAACTCAACCTACGAGATTAGTATTATAAACTGTCCATTTAATTGCATTTTCTAAATCATCAAGCAATTGATTGATTTCTCCATTTTTGTGTTCTTTTCTGGGCTCAATTGGATGGTTATGACAAGCATTTCTTTAATTAATGCTTTTAATATTAACCACGGTATGGTATGATTTGAAATCCATCCATTTTTAAAGGGTATACTGGAAAAATTTACCACCAATCAACGGGTATTATAAAATATGTCAGCAATCAAGTGGTAATCATTAAACTCATGGGCCCCATGCTTTGATTAGTCAATCTTTTTCCYATATCACATCTTTCCCGYATTGTAGATTTTTTAATTTTAAATTGTGCATTCTCCCTTGTCAGTTTTGAAATAAACACACAAAAAAACTAAGTATTGAAGTCTTGATGAAAAGCACCAGCTTTTTGTCTAAGTTTGGTTTTGTTTTTCTAAACTAAAGACAATTGCCACATCAGCGATTTTTTTCTGATGTGGCAATTGTTTTTTGTTTTGAAAAACAAAATCATTCGTATTGGTGAACACCGAGCCAAGCAATTGAGTATGGAGATAAAAAAAATATGCATAATTGGCCCCAAACGGTATGATCCTGAGTGCATAGGTGGTAGATGCTCAACAACTTGAGGTGATTAGTTGATTACTTTAGGCTCAATTTGAAAAAA